TAATAATAATGATAACACAACCATAGACTGCTAGAGTTGGATGAGACCCCAAGGGCCATCCAGTCCACCCCCATTCTGTTGTCATTGTTGGGGTTCAGCCTCCGTGTGAACCTGAACCTGATTCTTTGATTGTATTTCCTGATGCAACTGAACAGGCTACTGAACATGTATTTTTCCCTGATGGTTTGGAAACTGTTGATTCTGAGGGCAGTGGCTGGGAAAGTGAAACTACACATCCTGATGAGAATGTTTCAGAATCAAGCGGTGATAACTCTCCAGAGGAGCTAACACCTGCCTTTTTTAATGAGGATAGAAAAGGACAGATTTGGAAAAACAGGAGTGAATCACAGAGTCTGCGAAGGTCAAGTAGATTAAAGGAAAAGGAGGCTTCCAAGCCTGGAGGCGTGTCCCGAAACAGTTTCTTTAGTTTTAAGTGTCTCCCCCCGGGCTGTCTCGTTAGATCAAGCATCGTTTAGACTGAGGCATTACCTTGGCAGAGTTCCCGTTTCCCATGGCCTGCATTCCCAGAGGCTTCTAGTTTCCAAGTACGGTTAGTGAAATGCTAACAGGTTCCAGGTTTTTATAGTGTTGCTTTTGGAATTTTGATCTAGTTCAGAGATATTCCTGACTGCTGAGTTTTACTGTGGCTTTTTGACTTTGCATTTTCCTCTATTTTGTAACCATTTTTTCATCAATAAAAAAGGATTGTTTTTCCCACAGTCAAGTGTGGTGGATTTAATCTTATGGTCTTGTTTCCTGATCTGGGTTGCAACAATCCATGCAGGGACACAAATCAAAAAAGACAGCGAAAGCCCCTACACGACCCTCGCCATGAGACAGATGGCCGATACATGTAGTAACCTACACAATGTTCAAAGCCCGAAGTCAGTCCCAGCCCTTGTGACCTTAGCTTTGCTCCCCGTGGAGATAACTGAGGGCCTCTCCTCGTCGGTCTTTCTGCTTCTTGGTAGTCCTTCTTTTCCGCTCCCTTCCAAAGTTCCGCTGAAAAAAACCACAAGCCGACTGATGGGGGGGGGAGTCCTTCCGCCCCCAAAGTCCGCTGAACCAACCGCCGCCTTTCTTCTCTCCATCGGCCGATTTCTTCCTCAGCAGCTTCTGCCCTGATCTGATCACCTAAAACACCAGGAAATGCAATTAAAGTACAAAGTCATTCAAGCTAAATCGTTTGCAACCAATGCAAAACCATTATTATTTGAAACACTACGAGATGAGTCCACAGCAGACACTCTGCTGGTTGTTGTATTGGATCACACATCGGACACTTCCCAAGTGTCTAGGACTGTGTGATGTATCGGCAAATAATGTGTGCAGATCCCAGTAAGGTGGCCTTCTGCAGCTGGCAGATGGTAATCTTGTCAGCGCTGATTGTGTTTAAGTGCAGGCCAAGGTCTTTAGGCACTGCACCCAGTGTGCCGATCTATCTTATTGTGTTATGTTTTTAACTTTGTGCTCTCTGGGCTTGTCCCTTTGTAAGCTGCCCCAATTGCTCTTGTAAGCTGCCGGACCAAATTTCGATTCTCAATTCCCTTTGGGTAGATGGAGGGCGGTCAACAAATTAATTATTAATTATTATTATTATTATTATTATTATTATTATTATTATTATTTGAAAGACAACAAGATGAGTCCACAGCAAACAAAATCACTTTGCTGGCTATTGCATTGAATCACACTTATATAATATTATATTTATTATTTATTATTATTATTAATTATTATTATTATTATTATTATTATTATTGAAACACAACAAGATGAGTCCACAGCAGACAAGATCACTCTGCTGGCTGTTGTATTGGTGACATTATTATTATTATTATTATTATTATTATTATTATTATTATTTGAAACACAATAAGATGAGTCCACAGCAGACAAGATCACTCTGCTGGCTGTTGGTATGGTGACATCAATTATTATTATTATTATTATTATTATTATTATTATTATTATTATTATTATTATTTGAAACACAATAAGATGAGTCCACAGCAGACAAGATCACTCTGCTGGCTGTTGGTATGGTGACATCAATTATTATTATTATTATTATTATTATTATTATTATTATTATCACAAGATGAGTCCACAGCAGACAAGATCATTATTATTATTATTATTATTATTATTATTATTATTATTATTATTATTTTATTATTATTATTATTATTATTATTATTATTATTATTATTATTATTATTATTATAAACACAATAAGATGAGTCCACAGCAGATACTCTGCTGGTTGTTGTATTGGATCACACTCAGACTATTATTATTATTATTATTATTATTATTATTATTATTATTAGAAACACAATAAGATGAGTCCACAGCAAACAAGATCACTCTGCTGGCTGTTGTATTGGATCACACCTCAGACACTTCCCAAGTGTCTAGGACTGTGTAATGTATTATTATTATTATTATTATTATTATTATTAGAAACACAATAAGATGAGTCCACAGCAGACAAGATCACTCTGCTGGCTGTTGGTATGGTGACATCAATTATTATTATTATTATTATTATTATTATTATTATTATTATTAGAAACACAATAAGATGAGTCCACAGCAGACAAGATCACTCTGCTGGCTGTTGGTATGGTGACATCAATTATTATTATTATTATTATTATTATTATTATTATTATTATTATTTGAAACACAATAAGATGAGTCCACAGCAGACAAGATCACTCTGCTGGCTGTTGGTATGGTGACATCAATTATTATTATTATTATTATTATTATTATTATTATTATTATTATTTGAAACACAATAAGATGAGTCCACAGCAGACAAGATCACTCTGCTGGCTGTTGGTATGGTGACATCAATTATTATTATTATTATTATTATTATTATTATTATTATTATTATTATTATTGAAACACAATAAGATGAGTCCACAGCAGACAAGATCACTCTGCTGGCTGTTGGTATGGTGACATCAATTATTATTATTATTATTTTATTATTATTATTATTATTATTATTATTATTATTTTAAACACAACAAGATGAGTCCACAGCAGACACTGCTGGCTGTTGGTATGGTGACATCATTATTTATTATTATTATTATTATTATTATTATTATTATTATTATTATTATTATTATTATTATTATTATTTGAAACACAATAAGATGAGTCCACAGCAGACAAGATCACTCTGCTGGCTGTTGGTATGGTGACATCAATTATTATTATTATTATTATTATTATTATTATTATTATTATTAGAAACACAATAAGATGAGTCCACAGCAGACAAGATCACTCTGCTGGCTGTTGGTATGGTGACATCAATTATTATTATTATTATTATTATTATTATTATTATTATTATTATTAGAAACACAATAAGATGAGTCCACAGCAGACAAGATCACTCTGCTGGCTGTTGGTATGGTGACATCAATTATTATTATTATTATTATTATTATTATTAGAAACACAATAAGATGAGTCCACAGCAGACAAGATCACTCTGCTGGCTGTTGGTATGGTGACATCAATTATTATTATTATTATTATTATTATTATTATTATTATTATTTGAAACACAATAAGATGAGTCCACAGCAGACAAGATCACTCTGCTGGCTGTTGGTATGGTGACATCAATTATTATTATTATTATTATTATTATTATTATTATTATTATTATTATTATTTGAAACACAATAAGATGAGTCCACAGCAGACAAGATCACTCTGCTGGCTATTGGTATGGTGACATCAATTATTATTATTATTATTATTATTATTATTATTATTATTATTTGAAACACAATAAGATGAGTCCACAGCAGACAAGATCACTCTGCTGGCTGTTGGTATGGTGACATCAATTATTATTATTATTATTATTATTATTATTATTATTATTATTATTATTATTTGAAACACAATAAGATGAGTCCACAGCAGACAAGATCACTCTGCTGGCTGTTGGTATGGTGACATCAATTATTATTATTATTATTATTATTATTATTAATTATTATTATTATTATTAGAAACACAATAAGATGAGTCCACAGCAGACAAGATCACTCTGCTGGCTGTTGGTATGGTGACATCAATTATTATTATTATTATTATTATTATTATTATTATTATTATTAGAAACACAATAAGATGAGTCCACAGCAGACAAGATCACTCTGCTGGCTGTTGGTATGGTGACATCAATTATTATTATTATTATTATTATTATTATTATTATTACTATTATTATTATTATTATTTGAAACACAATAAGATGAGTCCACAGCAGACAAGATCACTCTGCTGGCTGTTGGTATGGTGACATCAATTATTATTATTATTATTATTATTATTATTATTATTATTGAAACACAATAAGATGAGTCCACAGCAGACAAGATCACTCTGCTGGCTGTTGGTATGGTGACATCAATTATTATTATTATTATTATTATTATTATTATTATTATTAGAAACACAATAAGATGAGTCCACAGCAGACAAGATCACTCTGCTGGCTGTTGGTATGGTGACATCAATTATTATTATTATTATTATTATTATTATTATTATTATTATTATTATTAGAAACACAATAAGATGAGTCCACAGCAGACAAGATCACTCTGCTGGCTGTTGGTATGGTGACATCAATTATTATTATTATTATTATTATTATTATTATTATTATTATTATTATTATTTGAAACACAATAAGATGAGTCCACAGCAGACAAGATCACTCTGCTGGCTGTTGGTATGGTGACATCAATTATTATTATTATTATTATTATTATTATTATTATTATTATTATTATTATTTAGAAACACAATAAGATGAGTCCACAGCAGACAAGATCACTCTGTTGTTGTTGTTTTTATTATTATTATTATTATTATTATTATTATTTGAAACACAACAAGAGGAGTCCACAGCAGACAAGATCACTCTGCTGGCTGTTGGTATGGTGACATCAATTATTATTATTATTATTATTATTATTATTATTATTATTATTTGAAACACAATAAGATGAGTCCACAGCAGACAAGATCACTCTGCTGGCTGTTGGGATGGTGACATCAATTATTATTATTATTATTATTATTATTATTATTATTATTATTTGAAACACATAAGATGAGTCCACAGCAGACAAGATCACTCTGCTGCCTGTTGTATTGGTATTATTATTATTATTATTATTATTATTATTATTATTATTATTATTATTTGAAACACAATAAGATGAGTCCACAGCAGACAAGATCACTCTGCTGGCTGTTGGGATGGTGACATCAATTATTATTATTATTATTATTATTATTATTATTATTATTATTATTATTATTATTTGAAACACAGTAAGATGAGTCCACAGCAGACAAGATCACTCTGCTGGCTGTTGGTATGGTGACATCTATTATTATTATTATTATTATTATTATTATTATTATTATTATTAGAAAACATAACAAGATGTGTCCACTCTGCTGGCTGTTGTATTGGATCACATGTCGGACACTTCCCAAGTGTCTAGGACTGTGTAATGTATCAGCAAATTATGATTTTGTCAGCGCCGATTGTGTTTAAGTGCAGGCCAAGGTCTTTAGGCACTGCAGTGTGCCGATCACCACTGGAACCACCTTTACTGGCTTGTGCCAGAAACCACCCTTAATGGCTTATGCCAGTCTTTATTATTATTATTATTATTATTATTATTATTATTATTATTATTCTGACACAAAAACACAGTATGTCACAGCAAATGAGATCTATATGCTGGATTTCGTATCACAAAATCACAATAATTATGATTATCAGTCAGAAGATTAGTCAGAAGCACTCAAATATATCTCTGGCCTTCAATTATGAACCGAACATGGAAGGAGCAGGCCGCACCTCGGTCTGGGCTTGCTGCCGCGCCAAGATAATGTTGAAGACATCTAGGCCTTTTTCTAGGTCCTGTGATGGAAAGACACAAAAAGCAGCTTTACCCAAGATAAGTCACGACACTTATATCAGTGGTTCCCAACCTCACAAGTGCGATTGGCATACACGAAGGATAGGGCCTTCTCAGTGGTGGCTGTGTTTTTCGGTGTTTTAGTCACTTGTTGGGAAGTTTGCCCCAATTCTTTCATTGGTGGGGTTCAGAATGCTCTCTGATTGTAGGTGAACTATAAATCCCAGTAACTACAACTCCCAAATGTCAAGGTCTATTTCCCCCCAAAACCATCTGTGTTTATATTTGGGCATATTGAGTATTCATGCCAAGTTTAGTCCAGATCCATCAAGCTACAGACAGGAACCCCTAGGCAAAAACAACAGTCTCTGAACATGTGCTTATCTGACTTCTGGCTGAGACCAGTTCCTCCCTTCTCTTCGCAGCAAGAGCACACGTTTTCTCATTTCTGTCAAGGTTACATTACATAGCCTCAGCACAACATTTCTAATACACAATTGAACAGAACAGAATCCATCTTGAAATACTTCTTAATCCATCTTGAATTACATAGAAACACATTGAAAAACACACATACATAACTAAATAATCCTGACAAGTTTGGCCCAATTCTATCTTTGGTGGGGTTCAGAATGCTCTTTGATTGTAGGTGAACTAGAAATCCCAATAACTACAACTCCCAAATGTCAAGGTCTATTTTCCCCAAACTCCACCAGTGTTCACATTTGGGCATATTGAGGATCCATGCCAAGTTTGGTCCAGATCCATCATTGTTTGAGTCCACAGTGCTCTCTAGATGTAGGTGAACTACAACTCCAAAACTCAAGGTCAATGTCCACCAAACCCTTCCAGTATTTTCTGTTAGTCATGGGAGATCTGTGTGCCAAGTTTGGTTCAATTCCATCGTTGGTGGAGTTCAGAATGCTCTTTGATTGTAGGTGAACTATAAATCCCAGCAACTACAACTCCCAAATGTCAAGGTCTATTTCTCCCCAAACTCCATCTGTATTCATATTTGGGCATATTGAGTATTTGTGCCAAGTTTGGTCCAGATCCATCAATGTTTGAGTCCACAGTGCTCTCTGGATGTAGGTGAACTACAACTTCAAAACTCAAGGTCAATGTCCACCAAACCTTTCCAGTATTTTCTGTTGGATGTGGGAGTTCTGTGTGCCAAATTTGGCTCAATTCCATCATTAGTGGAGTTCAGAATTTCCTTTGATTGTAGGTGAACTAGAAATCCCAGCAAGTACAACTCCCAAATCTCAAGGTCTATTTCCCCCCCATCTGTGTTCATATTTGGGCATATTGAGTATTCACGCCAAGTTTGGTCCAGATCCATCATTGTTTGAGTCCACAGTGCTCTCTGGATGTAGGTGAACTACAACTCCCAAACTCAAGGTCAATGCCCACCAAACCCTTCCAGTATTTTCTGTTGGTTATGGGAGAACTGTGTGCCAAGTTTGGTTCAATTCCATCGTTGGTGGGGTTCAGAATGTTCTTTGATTGTAGGTGAACTATAAATCCCAGCAACTACAACTCCCAAATGACAAAATCATTTTTTTGAGTGAAGGACATACATTGGGTTGTTAGGTGTATGCTGTCCAAATTTGGTGTCAATTGGCCCACTGGTTTTTGAGTTTTGTTAATCCTACAAACTAACATTACATTTTTATTTATATAGAAGATTAGTATACATATACGTATATTTTATAGCTATATGCGTACACGTCACAATCACACAAAGTACCTGGAGCTGTTTCTGGGTTTCTTCTGACACTTTGGTCTGCGTCAGCCTATTTTTGTAAGCGTTTTTGTAATTTCTCAGAAGTTGCCGGTGGTGCCTGATGTTGCTCCACGACCACATGCGGGAGCATCGCCTGATATGGACCTCTAGGATACTGTTCCCTGCGTATTTCCACCTGTAAGAACAGAGCAGAAGTATCCAGTTCCTTGCATTGGGAGCCACGTAGAGAGCGTTGCAGTAGTCTAAGCGGGATGTAACCAGAGCGTGGACTACCGTGGCCAAGTCAGACTATCTATCTATTTATCAATCTATCTATCTATCACACACATATTGATATACAATTCAAGGTGCAGGTGCTTACCTACAAAGCCCTAAGCGGTTTGGGACCATCCTACCTGCGTGACCGCATGTCAGGTTCTGCTGGATCTCAGAATGAAACACGCACTCACGAGAACAGGTCCTGGAATTGCGGTTTATTCAATCCATACAGTACAGAGACAAAGAGAGAACTGAAGGTTTCCCGCCAAGCGCCTCTCTATCCCCCCTCCTGGCTTCGCTCCCCCCTCCTGCCCTTCTCTTATCACAGTTTAGACTACAATTCCTTTCTCACCGTCTTCAAAGTGAAAGCTTGGCACAGATGGCCCTACCATAAACTAATCTATCATGTCTACTCCCTCTAGTGTCAGGAAGAAGACTTCTTGGAATGTTTTCATGAAGGCACATTCTGACACCGCATCTCCATTTATGAACCCATGCGCTCTCTTTGTTCATCCGGAGAGGCCCTGCTTGTGATCCCGCCTGCGTCGCAGGCGCGTTTGGTGGGGATGTGAGACAGGGCCTTTTCTGTGGTGGCCCCCTGACTCTGGAACACCCTCCCCAAAGATCTTAGACAGGCCCCTACACTGGCAGTCTTTAGAAAGAACTTGAAGACCTGGCTGTTCCGATGTGCCTTCCCAGAGTAGGAATCTCCAATACCAAGTCCCAAAAGCACTTCACTAGAACTAAGATTGGTGCACACTGCACTTGCCCTATAATCCTACATATCACCTGTCACACCAGCACTTTTAACCCTGTACCCATTACTCTGGCCCGGCCCAGTTTTATTGTGTCTTGGTGTATTGTTTATTGCTTGTTGTTTAATGCTGCTTTAACTGTTTTTAATTTGCTTTAGGTTTTGTATTGTTGTATTGTGTGTTGAGGCCTTGGCCTTTGTAAGCCGCATTGAGTCCTTCGGGAGATGCTAGCGGGGGACAAATAAAGTTTAATAATAATAATAATAATGTAGGAAAATGGGTTTATATATCTGTGGAATGACCATGGTGGGGCTGAACCTGACTCAGCACAGAGAAGATGGCTTTGAAAGGCAGCAGGTCGCAGGAGCTGTCTTCATAGACCTGTCAGCGGCTTATGAGACTGTGAAGCACTGCTGCCTCCTCCTGAGGAAAATGTATAATCTCACCAAGGACGACCACCTCACCCGCCTCATAGGAAACCTGCTACAAAACAGGAGCTTCTTTGTTGAGTTCCAGGGCCAGAGAAGCAGATGGCGGAAACAGAAGAACGGCCTGCCTCAGGGGAGCGTGCTTGCTCCATCCATGTTCAACATCTACACAAATGACCAGCCACGGCCAGAAGGGACAGAGAGCTTCATCTATGCTGATGATCGTGCCATCACCACTCAGGCAGGGAGCTTTGAGATGGTAGAACAGAAGCTCTCCAAAGCTCTAGGTGCTCTCACTGCCTATTACAGGGAAAACCAACTGATCCCTAATCCATCTAAAACACAGACATGCGCCTTTCACCTTAAGAACAGACAAGCATCCCGAGCTCTGAGGATCACCTGGGAAGGAATCCCACTGGAGCATTGCAGCGCACCCAAATACCTGGGATGAGTCACTCTGGACCGTGCTCTTACCTACAAGAAGCACTGCCTGAACATCAACCAAAAAGTGGGTGCCAGAAACAATATCATACGAAAGCGGACTGGCACAACCTGGGGATCACAACCAGACACAGTGAAGACATCTGCCCTTGCGCTATGCTACTCTGCTGCTGAGTACGCATGCCCAGTGTGGAACACATCTCACCACGCTAAAACAGTGGATGTGGCTCTTAATGAGACATGACGCATTATCACGGGGTGTCTGCGCCCTTCACCATGGGAGAAATTACACTGCTTAGCCGGTATTGCACCACCTGACATCCGCCGGGAAGTGGCAGCCAATAGTGAAAGGACCAAGGCAGAGACATCTCCAGCTCACCCCTTGTTTGGGTATCAGCCAGCACGTCAACGACTTAAATCTAGGCATAGTTTTCTAAGATCTACAGAGACACTCGCTGGAACACCCCAGCAAGTGAGAGTTCAAAAGTGGCAGGCTCAGACCCAGAACCTCAATCCGTGGGTGATACCAGATGAGAGACTCCCCCCTGGGCACACAGAAGACGGGGCGACTTGGAAGGCGCTGAACAGACTGCGCTCTGGCACCACGAGATGCAGAAATGGGGCCACAAAGTGGAATAATCCTCGGCATGCGAGTGCGGAGAAGAAGAACAAACCACTGACCACCTGCTGCAATGCACCCTGAGCCCCGCCACATGATGCACGATGGAGGACTTTCTTGCGGCAACACCAGAGGCAGCACTCCAAGGGGCCAGAGACTGCTCAAAGGACATTTAATCAGCTACCAAGTTTGCAAAATGTGTGTGTGTGTGTGTGTTTTTTTTTATCTGTCTGTTTGTTTTGTTCTGTTAGAAATGTAATACAATGTTCTGGTTGCGGATGACATGATAAATAAAAAAATAAAATACCATGGTGCGACATAGGACTTTTGTCTGCTGGAGCTAGGTGTGAATGTTTCAACTGACCGCCTTGATTAGCATTTAATGGCTTGGAAGTGCCTGGGGGGAATCTTTTGTTGAGAGTGATTTGATGTGTCTGATAGTTTCCTCTCTGTTGTTGTGCTGTTATAATTTTAGAGTTTTTTAATACTGGGAGCCAGATCTTGTTTATTTTCATGGTTTCCTCCTTTCTGTTGAAATTCCCCACATGCTTCTTATGGATTTCAGTGGCTTCTCTGTGTAGCGTGACGTGGTGGTTGTGAGCGTGGTCCAGCATTTCTGTGTTCTCAAATCATATGCTGTGTCCAGGCTGGTTCACCAGGTGCTCTGCTCTGGCTGACTTCTCTGGTTGAAGTATTATTATTATTATTATTATTATAACTTTATTTGTCCCCCGCTAGCATCTCCCGAAGGACTCGATGCGGCTTACACAGGCCAAGGCCTCAACACAACAACAACAAACAATAACAATACGATGCAAGCAAATTAAAAACATAAGCAATAACACAAGAAAACATTATACTATTATGCAATAAAACCAGGGCCGGGCCAATGAAGGGTACAGGCTAAAAGTGCTGGGTGTGTGAGGTGGTATGTTGGATTTCTGGGCAAGTGCAGAGTGCAGAGAGTCTTAACTCTAATAAGGTGCTTCTGGGACGGAGTGGTAGGGGTTATCCTACTCCGGAAAGGCACATCGGAATAGCCAGGTCTTCAAGCTCTTCCTAAAGACTGCCAACGTGGGTGCTAGTCTAATGTCTTTGGGGAGGGTGTTCCCTAGCTGAGGGGCCACCACAGAGAAGGCCCTGTCCCTCGTCCCCACCAAACGCGCCTGCGATGCAGGTGGGATTGTGAGCAGGGCCTCTCCGGATGAACGAAGGGATTGCGTGAGTTCATACACGGAGATGTGGTCACGCAGGTAGGATTGTTGTATTGATGTCCTGATGTTAATTAATTGATATTACTGACTAATGATTTTGTACTGTATTGTTGATACTGGTTGTTAACCGCTCTGAGTCGCTGTCGGCTGAGAAGAGTGGTATACAAGTGAAGTCAATAAATAAATAAATAAATAAATAATGGTCCCAAACCGTTCAGGGCTTTGTAGGTGAGCACCCGCACCTTGAATTGGGCTCGGAAGATAAACGGCAGCCAGTGGAGCGCCTTGAACAGGAGGGTTGACCTCTCTCTGTAAGGGGCCCCAGTTAACATC